CGGACGTAGAAATCGCAGCGTCGAGTTCGTGCATTGTGAATGGTAAGTCGAGGCGATCGTCGCTGGATGGCGGTGAGGCTAAATACGAAGGTGATATCGATGAGGAGGACATACCTACGAGTAAGTGGCAGTAATGTTCTGCAACCTCTACTTCAGGTCGACCTTGATTTACAGCCAAAGATCGGAAAGGGAACAACTGTTGAGTGGGCGTCTGAAGGCTTCGGGCAGTTTGCCATATTCGAGACAGGGGTTTTCTGGGATCAAGAGAGCTACAAAATACCCTCCACCGTTGCCTATCGAGCTTATCGAGGTGTCGCAATACATGTCGTTGTGGTTGGCGTGCTGTAGATAGGTCAGATGGTGATTTCGTCCTCCTGTATTTTCTCTCTGCCCGGCGACGGATTGCACGAAGGTATTCATATTGTGCGTCAAGTTGTGATCTTGGTAGCGACACATTCACAAGTTTCGTATGCGTTGTTAAGGCTGATGCAATTTGGTTTTCTATTTCAGGTATAGATTGAATGTTCGCGCACTGAGCATTTACAGAAGCTTGGAATCCTGGCCAGTCTACGCTTTTCACAGGCCGGGGAGTCGAACGACGGAATCCTTTTAGCTGTATATACGTAGGGAGATGGTCACTTTCATGTGTTTCAACGTCTACGAACCAACAGGTGGTAGGCAAGAGACTTCTGCTCACAAAACATACGTCTAGACAGCTTCTGTACGATGCGCCACGGGGGTAAGTAGGTGAGCCATCGTTAATGGACATCAGGCCCTGATTGAGCACAAATCGGCAATGTCACTACCGCGGGTGTTTATTGAGGCAGTACCCCACATGGGATGATGTGCATTAAAATCCCCAACTAATACATGTGGTCCAGGGCAAGCTTGGAGCACAGACAAGAGATGGGAACAGTCCACGTGGCTTCTAGGAGGAATGTATCCACCAATAATTGATATTGAACGTCGCTTGTGCTTTATAGAAGGGCAAATATAGTCGTTAGAAGCATGAGGAGCCACGGCATGTCTCACGTACGTTAAATCTTGACGTACGCATATAATTACTTTGCTCGCATTTTGGTCATCACGTGACCACAAAGTGACGTATCCGGAAATACGAAACTATGACATCATATTCGGCTCACATATTACAACCAACGAAAATTTGTATTTAAACATCCGTTGTCGAAAGTCAGACAATCGGCTTCGCAAACTTCGTGCGTTCCACTGCATTATAGCAGAGGTGCGCACACGTTCATCGAAGAAATTCGCCATATTGTTTATGGAAGGGTCAGCATTGGCGGTTCCAGCACGTTGAGGATCTGCATTGCTGTTTTCGCTCCTGGTGTGTGTAGCTCGTTGAGAATCACACGAACAGATTTTAGTAGATGCTTCAGCATAGTTTGGCTCTTCTCAGTGTCTTGCCTATCATTTTCCGCCCTCTTTGAAGTTGCCACCCATGATGTGGTCTTTTTTATTGCTCCGGTCGGTAGCGAAGGCCACTCAGTATCTGAAGCATCGGCGCACAACGCGGGCGTTGGTCCACTTTCTGCATCCCTGGGACGTGGTGCGTACAACATGGGTGTAGCGGCCTCATAATGCGCACGTGTATGTTCATCTGTTGCTGATGGTGATGCATCACTCCTATGTCCACTATGCTTTCGCTGGTGCCTACGTTTTGGACGATGTCTGTGTCGGCGGATGGACGCTACTGCCTCTCTGTGTGTCGAGTTGTCTCTGACCATCTTCCGCAAGACGCGAATTTCTTCTTTGATCTTCGGGCACTCTTTCGACGTTGCTTCATGTGCACCAGAGCAGTTTGGGCATTTCAATGGAACAGCAGTATCGCAGTTTTCCACCTTATGAGACCCGCCGCACCGCTGACAAGTTGTCTCACTTTTGCACACTGCGCTGACGTGTCCCAACTTGCAGCACTTGTGACACTGCAAAGGCCGTGGCACGTAAGGGCGCACGGGATGTCTCACGTATCCAACCTTCACGCTAGGGAGCAGAGTCTCAGAATCAAATACTATTTTGATGCAGCGAGACTGCCCGAAGCGGCGTATGGTCACGATTCTGACTGTCGACGTCACAAGATTCTGCAGGTCAGCGTCTGTGATGTCAGCGTCGACATCATTTATCACGCCAGTCGTTGTTTCTTTCCCGTGAGCGAGAAACGCGCGAACAGAAATACTTCCGAGCTGCGTGACGGCCTTCAGTTTGTCAAGAATGGCTTTGTTTGTCACATCAACTGACAATATGTTTTTCCGGCTATTTATGCGAATTTCATTCACTTGAGCAGGTGCTACTCGCGCGAAATAATTAGTCAATGACTGCCTGCTTAGTGAGTTCAGGTTGTCGGATGTAGACATGGGTACATACGCCAAACGAGAGAAAGAATGCAGGCTGCAGTAGCGAATTGCAATGCCACGCAAAGAACGGCGAGCAGCTCGAAACTTGCAGCGCGCACCTCGGGCAAAGAGCACGCACGAAGTGGGCATACACAGGACACGCGTGGACAAACAACTGTCACAGCTCGACACCTAAAGCACGCTGGTCAAACAGAAAGACGCACGAAATGAACGTATAAAGTAAACACGGGACGAGCGCGAACAATGGTCACAATTCTTCTTTTCGTGTGTTGGTAGCGCACTCCACGACATAATCCTTAGCTGACATTGAAGTTGTGACCCTGAAGCTTGGGAATATGAACATCACGTCGACGTTTCCCAGCAAGGAGCTGATAACTCTATACTCGAGTCTAGTTGAATCGTGGATAATAAATCTCTTCATGAAAACGCCCGTATTCACTTTTGCCTGTTGAGCAGTCTTTCTTCGGCGAACAATCGCGCCAAAACAGGACACGCGTTTGCTCGAGTTTTAGTAACAGCAGTTGTGCACAGATGGCGCAACTGTGGCTGCAAAAAGCTACGTGGGACTAGTGGTGGATTCACGATAATATGCTGTGCTTTGGATTAGCATGATCGCCATGATTTTATAGGTGTGAGTGGTTACTTATATGAAAAGAAAAAAGCCAGAACAGAATCTACGTTTTAAAAAAGTGCTGTATAGAAAGTGGGAGCAAAAGTAGCAGGGCTCTTATGCACATCGCATAGTGACCAGCCTGCTTCAACTGGTTTTGCCGCATCGCAGCAACGTCATGAAACAAAAAACACCCAACGTTGTGCGATGAAGTTTATGTAATGTCCAATTTTTGCAATAAGTATTTTGCGATTGCTACACTATAAGAATTAAAAGAGGAATAGCGGTATCGAGGTTACTCCTTCAGAGGAGTAACTTACTTCCCACACCCATTGCACCATTTTGGGAGTAACTGTGTAGGAGTAACCACGCTCTCGCAGTTGTTCCTCAGAGGAGCAACAGTTAGTTTGCGCAGAAGAAATATGAGGTTTTGTTTTACTTAACCAGCCTTTAGAAGTGCGTGCAGGCATTTTATTACATGTACAATCGATGTGCACACACACAAGGGAAAATAAATTTAGAAAAATATGCAAAACATGCGGGATTCGAACTCACGACCACCAAGTCGGCATGCGCGTGCACTAACCGCTACACCACACCGCGCTATGGTACCGTCTGAAAGGAAACAGACTTGTGTACGCACCGATGGGCCATTGGCACATGGTGCGAACACTTCTGCAGTTTCTCCGAAAAATAGGTGCTTTACTCCACCTAGGGGAAAGTTCCCCTTTTTGCCGTTCTGTGTGCAATCTTTTGCACACATTTCCTTTTTTTGGAGGAGCAAGGAGCCATTTTTGGGGTAACTGCGCAGTTCCTCTGGAAAAAAATCTTTAGAGTGTACAGAGTATGATTTCTTGATGTGATATTTGTTTCTCAAGAATACACGCGCACATGCCCGTCTTATTGCTGTGTGTTTGTGCATCCGTGTGTTTGTGTGCGTGTAAATCATGTAATGATTTTAGCGTCGCGCTTTAAAAGCTGTTGCTTACTCGCCTGGCTGTTTGTGTAACATTTCTGTGTAGGGTCGAAAAAGATATTATAATGAAGTAGAGGTTTGACGCAGAGAATGCAACTTTTGGGGACGTCAATAAGCAACAGTAGACTTCAAAACTATTGGGTCAACCATTAACGCGTTTAAGCGCGTAAGAAAAGGCACTGTTTTATCGATTTTCTACTTCAACATATGCAAAACCTGAAAATGCGTTTACTGATAGATAAGGTCGTTTCTCCTTTAATGTTCATGTTTCACTCCTCACTTTCGTTCGGGTAGGTATACACAAGGAAGATAGTGTGGTGCATCAACGCTACGCTGAGAGAGGATCACTGAAGTTCGAAGAAGAATGTTTATGCGCATCTTACAACGCATTGTCGACAGCGCAAGTGATTGCCTATTTTCCATCACACTCAGTTTTTTTTATAAGCACACACATAGGAACACGAGGTTAGTTCACGATAGAGAACAGATTTCATAGCACGGGATGCCTCAGCCAGCCTTCGATTACGATACCTGAGAGAGAAATTTAATATCTAGTAGGCACATTAGGATAACGCGAGTGAATTTAGCATGAGGAGTGTGTATTGTGTTCTGTTTTTGTGTTGTTGTTTTTGTCTTTTCTCTATGGGGAGCTTTATGTACCAGTGTTTATATTTCCCCTTTGTATCGAATTGAAGCGCTTGTCCTTTTCTCTTTTCTAACAACCCTTCCCAAGTGCGCTGTTTTACATGATGAAACAGTATTAACCTGCCCAGCTTCCTACTTCAAAGCACCATTAGGGTGTTTGTAGGAGAACAAACCAATTTACACCTTTAAGGGTCTAAACATGTTTACTTTTCGTGGTAAGGTGCATCGAGTGTGACCTTTCGAGCATGCACTCTATCTATTTTGAAGTTGTGGCTGCTATAGTTTCCAACCAGTCTGCTTTGCCGATAGAAATTTTATACTTACATCTACTCTCGATTACTAGACAGGTAGCCAATTTTTTTTTCATCAAGGATGTCTTTTGCTCGCATGATCGCAGTTTTCACCGTGCGTGATCGGTGGCAACCGCTCTCTTGAAGCGTCCATCTTCTTCACTGGTTGGAACGTGCTCCGATTGGTCAGCGTCACCGTGGACATCATTGACCGACCACCCAGTGCCTGCAAGGATGCTCGCAAGACCGTACTGCACGCTCTGGCCTACTTGCTCTACTTCCCTGGACTCGTAGCGGGTCCGGTGACCAACTACGACGACTTCATGAACGAGGTGTTTATGTATTACCTCATTACCTTCTCAATATCTCATAACCGTTGCGTTTCATTTTGCAATCTGCCACGGGTAACTGTTGATCTCGAGGTGCCACCATTCTCTAAATAAACAGCCACTTTTGTGTCATGGTGATGTTCGTAGATAGAGCTTATATAGTTAGACAACATATGCGCAACATTCTGGTAATCAGCATTCTTCACGTTCAGACTCAGTTCTGTGGCTTATTCCTCGTTGTATGACACGCGTGCATTGCCTTGTAACATCTGGAAATGTACTGCGGAACACAAGCACCAAAAGAAGGCGTGGAAAACAGGATAATATAGAAAATAGCGCTGACATATAAAGGAATTTATTTTTAAGCAGCGGCAAGAGACATATCACAGGGAACGTTGCACCTGCGCTACGTAGAGCCCTTTATTTAACAAGAATGACAAAGGTCATTGAAACACGCATATCTGATCTAGACGTACAAATATCTACCGGCGCTAGTCAGTACATGTCGCGGGACGGCTTTAAGCTTTCCCATAGTAGAGTACCCTGTGCTCTAAATCGTTACCTCCTTTTTTCTAACCCCCCCCCCCCCCCCCCAGTATAAACGTTGCCAAAAGAAACCGGACCACGTTTACAAGCTTAAAGTGAAAACAAGCAAATAATAACCCTTTACACTTGTAGTGAATTGATGTAAATATACCAAGCGTAACACAAAACGGCCCTCGCGAAGTACGTTTACAATGTTAGAATGAACCAACTGTACAAGTTAGGAATAACTTAGTCTTCGTACCACTGACTGTTTTCCACAGGGAAACAGCTGTAACTACGTTTCTGCTCAGCCCAAGTGGTGGTATCGTTTTGTTTGTAGCCAATAAACTATGTCTACCAGATGTAAAAAAAAAGTCAGTGTTGCTCTAAAGGCAACGCATTGATAGGTGGAGTACCGTTTTGGACAACTCTATAAGCAAATGTTCAGTAGTCTAATTGACGGCATTGCTATGTCGTTTAAGTACTATTTCCCATCGGGCTGCCCGCTTTTCTAGTGGTATGTCCTCTATAAGGATTAAGATTTCTTAAAAATTTATTTTACGAGTGTTTGTAGTGGCTCATCTTTTTGTCCCTGCAAGCCCATATTTCTGTACCAGTGCTGCGTACACTGTAGTAACCTATCGCTTACCAATTAACCTGTTCAATGAACATGGTATACCACACGCACAGACAACTATGACTACGCCAGACGATCTGTTTGGAACACCAGCATGATGGGCAATACAAACGTGTCGTGAACGAATCACTCACACTGCCTTGTTCAAGAGATATATGGGATAGGCGACGAACGGAAATACCAATCGCACAGCTTCTTCGATTATGGCCACCGCCTTTTAGGACCTTCTTACGATGTTCGATATCGTAAGGGACATTCGAATTCACTCAACAGGGATTGCAGAGAGGCGTTGTTGCTGATGTAACAGCGGTTTGCCAGCACACTGGCTATTCTTCTGTCACCTTTAGTCACGATTTGCTATAACTATAGCTAACGCGCGCCCATGCTAGCAGACATGAGGCAAAATTTCAGCCAATTCAAGCTAATGCAAACGAGTGCAAGTAGTCTGCAAGAGTGTAGTTGAAGTAACGTGCTTTACTCATACACTGTGCCAGACTGCACTGTCCACCAGGAACCTCTATTGGGGACATTTCGCTATTTGCTTTGCCATGTTCTCAGCTCCAGCAATTGCAACATTTTGAGCCAGTCAGGGAGGATATGACGATATGACGGAATGGAATTATTCGGCAGCATCAACCGGTTTATATATATATATATATATATATATATATATATATATATATATTATGACGACTCGGTTGTAGCGAGGTTTATTGGCCGTGAACTCGGGAATGAACAAGCGCAACGGACCCGACCAAGAAGCGCTCGAGCCAAGCAGATGATGATTGTCAGCCAGAACATATGATGATGATTGACTGCTGTTCAGATGAGGATGAAGCGCATAATAGATGCCTACACTGATTCCCCCCCCCCCCCCCCCCGTGGAAGCGGCCAGCCTGGCCGCTGCGGGCGGGTAGTCAAGGTGACGAGGAACGTCGTGTGAAAAGCTTCATGCGGGAAACGTGTACAATTTCGGTGCTGCGGTAACGACGGTCAGTTGGCACGACAAGAGGCGTCACACGATAGTTGACAGGTGAAGTCTGCTGTAAAACAACATATGGGCCGATGAATCGAGGCTGGAACTTGTCGCAGAGACCAGGTGTGCGAATTGGTGTCAATAGCAGCACCTCGTCACCCGGTCGGAATGATACCACACGATGAGAGGTGTCGTAGACGGCCTTCCTTGCTTGTTGCGTAGCTTCCGTGTTCATACGAGCGCGCTGGCGGCACTGGGCAAGGCGAGAAATATATTCTTCGCAAGAAGATGGTGATGTAGGGCCATTGCTGGTGAAGAAGGAAACATCGATAAAGAAAGTAGGTGAACGTCCGTAAACGAGATAAAACGGTGAGTAGCCTGTTGTGCGCTGAACAGCGGTGTTGTAGGCGAAAGTGAGGAATGGTAGAAGTTTATCCCAGTTTCTGTGATCCGGTTGAATGTATACGGCTATCATGTCGGCAAGGGTTCGATGAAATCTCTCGGTCAGACCATTTGTTTGAGGATGGTAGCTAGACGCCATCTTGTGTGTGGTACCAGAAACGCGAAGAACTTCACCTAAAAGCTGTGATAAGAACACCTTTCCACGGTCACTCAGAAGTACACGAGGTGCACCATGACGTAGTATTATGGCCTGAAGGACGAAGTCAGCAACTTCCGATGCTGAACCAGTAGCTACTGAAGTTGTCTCGGCGTAGCGTGTCATATGGTCTACGGCGGTGACTATCCATCTATTTCCAGCACCAGTAACAGGAAGGGGTCCATAAAGATCGACACCGACGACCTCGAAAGGTGTTGTAGGGCACGTCATTGGCTCTAACTGACCAGCTGGGGGAGATGTCGGAAGTTTGCGAAGTTGGCATGGAGAGCAGGAACCCACGTACTTTGCTACGCTGGTAGAAATCCCAGGCCAATAAAAGCGGCTTCGAATGCGGTCGTAGGTTTTGTGAAAGCCTAGGTGGCCAGCAGTCAAATCGTCATGAAAGGCGTTAAGTACATGATGTTGAAGAGCGCGTGGCAGAACAGGTACCCAGCGTGTGCCTTCAGGATGATATATGTGACGATATAGCACACCGTCCTGAAACTTGAAGTGCTCGAGTTGTCGACGAAGGCGTGCATTGGGTGGACGCGTAGCTCCTGAAAGGTGGTCTATAATGCGCCGACAATACGGGTCAGCCTGCTGGTGAGAACTGAAGGGTTGTTCATCGTCGATTGGCGGTTGGTACAGCGAGGCGAGCAAGGCAACAGAAGTGGGAGTCACGTCCGCACTGGTGTCGTTGGAGGTGGCAGCTGGAGTGTCGAACGACGCTGTAGGTAGTGGGCAACGAGAAAGAGCGTCGGCGTCTTGATGTTTTTTGCCCGATTTATAGATAATCTCAAACTGATACTCCTGTAGGCGTAAAATCCAACGACCCAAGCGTCCGGACAAGTTCTTCATTGTAGAAAGCCAGCATAAGGCGTGGTGGTCCGTTACGATGGTGAATTGACGGCCGTACAGATAAGGACGGAACTTTTGTATGGACCAAACCACAGCGAGGCACTCCTGCTCAGTGATAGTATAGTTTTTTTCGGTAGAAGTTAGCACTCGGCTAGCATATGCGATGACCCTTTCCCGTCCAGAGTTATCGCGTTGGAGGAGAACAGCACCTATACCGCAGCCGCTGGCGTCGGTATGCAGGAGTGTTGGGGCGGTGTCATCAAAATGGCAGAGTACAGGTTCTGACGTCAAAGCTTTCTCCAATAGGTGAAACGCCGACTGACATTCCTCGGACCACACAAAGGGTGCATTAGATGCAAGTAGTTTGTGAAGTGGCGCAGCTATTGAAGCGAAATTTTGTATGAAGCGACGAAAATATGATGCGAGGCCAAGAAAACTTCGCAAATCCTTAAGTCTTGTGGGGCATGGAAATCGAAGGACGGCAGCGATCTTTTCGGGGTCAGGGCGAATACCGTCCTTGCTGACGACATGACCGAGAACCTTGATGGATTTGGTGGCGAAACGGCACTTCTTAGTGTTGAGCTGCAGACCCGCACCGGCGAGGCATGTTAGGACGTCATCCAAGCGGCTCAGGTGCTGAGAAAACGTTGATGAAAAGATGATAATGTCATCAAGGTAGCAGAGACACGTCTTCCATTTCAGACCACGCAGGACGGTGTCGATCATGCGTTCAAACGTCGCGGACGCATTGCAAAGCCCGAAAGGCATCACGTTAAATTCGTATAGGCCATCGGGGGTTGCAAATGCCGTTTTTTTCTTTGTCATCATCGTGCATGGGAATTTGCCAATATCCCGAACGCAAATCAAGGCTTGAAAAGTATTCGGCGCCTTGCAGCGAATCAAGGGCGTCGTCGATGCGTGGCATGGGGTATACGTCCTTGCGTGTGATGTTGTTAAGTGCCCGGTAATCAACGCAAAAGCGCACGGAGCCATCTTTTTTCCGTACCAAAACAACAGGGGATGACCAAGGGCTAGTTGATGGACGAATTATTTCTCGTTGGAGCATGTCAGCGACGTTTTCCTCGATGATTTTTCGCTCAGCGAGAGACACGCGGTACGGGCGGCGATGTACAATAGATGTTCCTTCCGTCTGAATGCGATGCGCTGCAGTGGTAGTTCGGCCCAACGTTGAAGAGCAGGTGTCGAAAGAATCGGCGTGTTTCGTTAATAACGCAAGCAACTGCTGCGCCTGCATAGCTGTTAAGTCATCACTGATAAGAGCTGTGAAGGAAGAGGATGAGACAGGCTTACTCATATAACGGTCGTTGGTAGAGGCAGGGTGAAGTGGCGTGACGCTGACAGGCTCAGCATCCACAACACAGGCTACTGCAGTGCCCTCTGGCAGGAGAACTTTCTCTGGCGTTTCATTCGTAGCAATGACGAGCGCGGAGCCATGGTGAAAGCGTACGACACCTGATGCAAGGGCTATGCCTTTTGCGACGCAAGTCGACGAAGGGGACACCAAGACGTCACCGTGGTCAATGTCCTTAGAGATCAGGGTCACAATTCGTTCTTGGTGTGGCGGTAGTTCGAGATCTTCGCAAGCGAACAGGCGTAGAGGCTTGTAGACGCCTTCGTCGAACATGGAGTCCGTATTAGTTAGGTGCAGAATCCGTTCACCACAACAAATAGCGGCTGAAGAAGAAGATAGGAAGTCCCACCCTAGAATTAGCTGGTGAGAGCACCGGGTAAGCACAGTGAACTCGATGTAATGCAAAATGTCATCAATAAACACACGAGCAGTACAAAGAGCAAAAGGGCGGATAGCGTTCCCCTGGGCTTCGACTAGATTGGGTCCATTATAAGGTGTCATTACTTTCTTCAGGCGTTTGCACAAATCATACCTAATCACAGAAACTGTAGCACCGGTGTCCACCAAAGCGTCCACGAGAACTCCTTCCACCGTAACAGAAACCATGTTGAACGGGCGTGCTGGAGGAATATGAGTCCTACTGTTACATGCAGTTTCTCCTCCGAAAACTGCATCATTTAGTTTTCCGACCGGTTTTCAGTAGTAAACGAGGCTGGCCGAAGAGGAGAGGAGGAGCGACGTAAGGGCGAAGGTGATCGGCGTCGGCTTGAACGGTACGTGTTCCGCGTCTCAGTCGACGCGGGCGGAGATGGAGACCGCTGCTGTCCAGATGAATAACGCCGAGCGTAAGAATCCCCTCTGGAAAAGTTCCGTTCGCGCATGTCGTACCCGCGACGCTCGTCCTGCTGGCGCTTGCGGCAGAAGCGCGATATATGGCCACGATATCCACAGTAAAAGCATGTTGGGCGAGACGGGCGCCAAGGCGGGTAGTAGAGGTCGTTCGGCATACCGGGAGATAGCGCACTCAAGTGGACTGATGGAGGGTCGGGTGGGATTGGTCGGAAGTGGACCGGTGGTGCAGCAGCAACCGGCGTGAATGATGGCAGCGGTGAAGTAGAGTTTACGTTGCGAGGAGGCGCGGCCGCAACTTGCGCGTACGTTGGAGGGCTAGACGGAGGTGGCTGGACGTAGGCTGGACCGGTGAATGATGTTAGTTCCTCCCTTACGATGTCACGGAGGGCCATGCTTGAAGGCTGTGTGACAGATGGAGAAGGTTGTGAGATGCCCATTGATTGAAGTTCTCGTATGATCTCCCGTATCATGTCACGCAGGTCCCGGTCTGCGGTACGGTGTTCACTATTGCCCGACTGAAGGCGAACAGAATCAAGTTCGTCGAGACGCTGACACGTAGAGACGACGTCCGTGACAGTAGAAGGATTCTGGGCAACAAGGGCATTGTAGGCAATGCTTCCGATGCCCTTCAGGATGTGGCGCAGTTTGTCCGACTCGGACATCGAAGAATTGACACGCCGGCAAAGCGCAACGACATCCTCGATATAAGATGTGTATGACTCGCCGGGATGTTGTTGGCGAGTATCTAGGGCCCTCCTTGCTAGAGCGGATCGAACGGCTGGCGTGCCGAATACTTGGCGAAGCTGCTGCTTGAAGGCAGGCCAGTCGGTGAGGTCGATCTCATGGTTCAAGAACCATGTCTTGGCAACGCCCGTGAGATAAAGCGATACTCGGCGGAGCTTGTTAGAGTCGTCCCAGTGATTAGTTGCGCTTACCCGCTCGTAGTTATCGAGCCAGTCCTCCACATCTTCGCCGCGGAGACCAGCGAAGATCGGAGGGTCACGCTGGTGGTTTACGATGCAAAGAGGAGGGGCTTTGCGGCGCAGTGACGGCTTGCGGCGCAGAGACGGGAGCCGAACGGGCATCACCCACTCACTCTGAGACATGTTGGCGGACTGAGGGTCCAAGCGGCGGCCTTGAACGGAGCTCCAGCGAGTAGGTGTTGTAAGTAGAGGTACTGGGAACGTCAATCCACCTCCACCACGTATGACGACTCGGTTGTAGCGAGGTTATTGGCCGTGAACTCGGGAATGAACAAGCGCAACGGACCGACCAAGAAGCGCTCGAGCCAAGCAGATGATGATTGTCAGCCAGAACATATGATGATGATTGACTGCTGTACAGATGAGGATGAAGCGCATAATAGATGCCTACAATATATATATATATATAATATATATATATATATCTATATAATATATATATATATATATATATATATATATATATCCACGTATTGCACGTCTTTTCCCGTTGGAGATTGTGGGTTGAGGAAACGAACGGAACGGAGATATGTTGAAATTTGGAGTCGACTGCGCATTAGCAGCTCAACTTTGAACACAGTCTTTGGCTTATCGTTGAGTATCTGCAGTCACAACGAAAAACAATATGAGCACAAGTGACCGGCGCGCAAAACTGCGAGGCGCGATGCTGTTCTTCACGAGTCCACCAATAGCAAAAAACGAAGCACATTACATTTTACAAAGCACGAACGGCTGGTGGGAGCAGCCCAACTTGCTATTGGTGTATACAAAAGCTCATATCTTGAAAAAAAAAAAAAAAAACTATTTCAATGCTTATTGGCAGATGTGGCTATAAGCATTTTTTTTTTCGCTGGGCTCGTACCTTTATCGCAACTGCCTGGAAACAGCTCTTTGTTGCAGTGCTTCACGCCGGCCACCCACTAAGTTGGAAAATGGAATGAATGTGCTTGGCACTCTCGAAATCAGCGTGTTTCGCGAAAACAGGGCCGCGTGTCGCAATCTTCCCGCATCGGGCACCAGTCACTTGTGCCAATCTTTTTTTTCTCATTGCCCCGGCTACGACGGCTGCATTTTCGACGGAGGCGAAAATGGTGTATGCCCGTGTGCTCAGATTTCGGTGCACGTTAAGAATACCAGGTGGTCAAAATTTCCGCAGCCCTCGTTTATGGCGTCTCGCACAATCACATGGTGGTTTTGGGACGTTAAGCTCCACATACCAATCAATCCTTTTTTTTTGTTGTGGCTATATACATCTTTGAAAAAATAACTCGCGACGCGCGAGTGGTGACCGCAATCAAATAAAACTGCGTTTCCGCGCCATCTCTCATTCAGCGTTGTTGGTGCTGTTGTTTACCTATTGTTAGTGGCGCATTCTTGGCCAATCCCCCTATGGGGGATTGGCCAAGAATCGAGTGGTTTTAAAATTTATTGTTCAGATTTGGAATAATGGAGGTATAACAGAACGATTACCGATAGTCTAGGAAAGTGTGGTGCTTAATGTAATGAATACAAATATTTACATAAACGAATTTATTCAGCGTCTGGTGTCCAGACATCGCAGTGCTCGTGCGCATCAGTTGTGTTCTGTGCGGGGAATTCCCCTTTTCCGGGGAATTTTCGCCTGTAATTTTGAGCCAAATGGAAAATGGGCATCTTTATGATATTGCAGGGAAATTGTGTAATGATTAAATTGTTCTATGACAACCGGTAATCAGTGGTCGCAGTGCACTTTCATCTGCTGTAATTGGTTCTTTCACATGCGCCACGCAAGCATAGCCCTTGACATTTGTTTCTGAGGGATGGCTAGTTCACTATTGGTGTTAGACTTGCAGATCACAATGTCCAGTGTACTCGCAGTATAAAAAATAATAAAGGCATCCTTTTGTTGTGTGGCAGTGGAGGCGCTACTCACGATTTTAAAAGTCGCCAGTACGTCAGATACCTGTAATTGTTTAATTATAGTATGTGAGTGCGTGGATGGGGGTGGAAATTAGTGCTGTTGTGGAGAGAAATATTCTGCGAATTTCGTCAATTTTTGCAGCATAAAATCCGAAATAGGGAATTTTCATGTCTGTGAATGTAAATTCTTCGGCTGGTACAGAACATCCCTGGTGCGCATCCTTTCACACTCACAGCCTTCGCATTTACTTTTAGCTCTCTTGCAGCGTTCTCGCTGATTACATTTAGGGCTTTGCGGTAAGGGCACCTTCTTTCTTCAAATGGCAGATTGGGCCAGTTACGTTGCTTACTCACTTAGATGGGGTATGGTTGTAGTGAAGTGTACGCTGCTGGATTTAGCCGAATAAAGAGAACTTACTTTTTATCAGTGAAAGAAGCGTAGCCCCATACAACACTACTTGCATTCTGCGCGTGTTCTTTTTTAGTAAGAACGCGCCTTGTGATACTAAAATACGAACGAACTCACCAAAATAAAAAAAAACGTTGAGTCGAAAGAAAAAAAAAACTATGCAGACTACACTCACAAGAAGAGAAGATCCGGCTGCTATGTGTTATCTTTCTCGTAAAGGTAAAACGGAAAGGCGTACTCTTCACCGCCAGCGTGCTTTTGACGGATAGAGCGCACGACAGACTAAACAGAGTGCGTGACACCCACCACACAAGAGTACATGAAATCAGCTACCCTTTGGCAAGGAAGTAAAAAGACGCACCCGCAATGTGATGTCTCGACACCAGGCGCCGAGCGTCAGACGACTGCGGTGGCCGCTCGTGCGCCCGACTTATTCTCTTGACGGGTGTACATGTATGCCAGAAAGATCGGGAAGGGGAGGGGAATCAATGGTAAAAAGGAAGGGGAATCAAGCCCCCCTTCCTAAGTGTTCGGCTACCTCCACTTGGCCCCTCTTAAGGGGCAAAGTCATAACTCTACCCCTGAAAGCACGGACCACTCGTAGGAGCCACCCCAATTCCTCACGTCGCTTCACATGAAAAAAAAAAAAGAACAACATCCTGTCAGCATTCCTGTTCTAGAAGCTCATTATTTGCCTTTGCAGGCCTACCGTCCCCCCACATGGAATCGGAAGCGCCTCTTGGAGTTCCTCGCGAGGTCCGCCCGCGTGGTCATGGGCTACTGTGCCATGGAAGGGTTCCTGCGGTTCGCCTACGTGAGGAGCGCCGCATTGACTCCTCGCTGGTTCTTCGCACAGTCCGGCTGGACCCTGGCGGGCATCGTGTACTTCAGCTCACTGCAGTTCTACCTCAAGTACAACTTCGCGTACGGCCTCCCTTCGCTGTTCTTCTGGCTGGACAACGTGTACGAGAAGCACGACCTGAGGCCCCGGTGTACGACGCGCATACACACAGCAGCGAACGTGTGGAGGTCAGTATGTGTACACTTTGTACTAGCTGATGAGCAATAGCCGTGCTGTTTGTTTGGATCTCTCTACCGTTGCATTTGGTACGAGCCGGGACAACCGGTGTCACCAGAAGGCAATACTGTGAGATCAAAACACGTTTCGTAACTTTTCAGCCAGTTTCCTGGAAGGGCGTGAAACATGCGGATTGCCGATATTAAAGGGGCCCAGCAACACTTTTTGAGCATGGTCAGAAACACATCGGTAGTATAGAGGCTCCCGAGAACACGCGAGTCAAATATTATTGCGCAGAACGCGGCCTGGAATTCACAACAAATTATCAAAGTCAGTCGAACATTGCTTTCTCTTCTCTCGAAAGATGACAAAATGACTCGTAGCAAGCCCATGTGTCAGCCGTTGGCTGATTTGAACATGGCGCGCTCGGTCGTCACAGAGATCGCCTCGGGAGTCCGCAACTTGTCCCCACTTGCCCCTGCGATCACACTTAAAAAGCTGCGCATTCGAAGGAAAAAAAAAAAAAGAAAGAGTGCTCAAGCTCACGAGGCGTGGGTGGCGTATTTTCCTTGCCCCTGCCATCCCTTCCTGCTTAGCTTCTAGCGCTTCCATCGGGATGGAAGAAGAGAGAATGCAATTGCAGCATGCGACAAATCTTTGTAAGTCCACTTAGTGAACGGATTTGTAATTTTTTTTTGTGTGGCGTTGCAAGGCAATAAGCTCTTCCACTGAATTCGTTTCATAGTTGCTCCAAAAAGTGTTTCAGGGCCCCTTTGAATGCGAGTGCATTTCTTAGTCGGCCTATGTCAGGCATCTGGCGTCGTCCGTGGCATCCGCGGCGCTGTCCGGGTGCCGACAGGTGTTATGTCTCCGCTCTCACTCTATCTCTCATAGTAACAGCTACGTGTGCGCGCGCTTATCTTTACCTTTAGCAACCGGACTATGTTGTGGTGGTGGTGGTAGTGGTTAGAAGAGGAGACAGGCACCTAATTTCTGCAGCCCGGTTGGGAGCACGGTGCAGTGCCTATGTGGTGCAGGAGAGTGTAGGAGATGGTAGGCGCTCTCCACTTTCCCGTCCGCTCGCGCCTCACTCTGGCCTTTCCCTGGCTGCGTGCCTCTCACGAACATTCAGAAATGTGTGCTCTAAACACCACTGTGATACGCCAACACCGAGCCGAGAACGGTGCTTGCATTGTTCACCTCACAGGTATTTTCTAACCGTGTGCGCTAGCTACTGGAGCTGGAAATGCATACCATGTTGCCAGCTCTAGTTGCTCTGGTGGGCGAAGAGAGACAGGATGCGGGAAGAGAGTAAGCTATAGCACAAAACGAAAGAGTAAGAAAGAATCAGAGAGAACGAAATAATAATTACTTTATGAGGCTTTCTGTACCAAAAGGAAGATACCCCAAAAGCACGAGCAAACACAGACGCCTTAGCGGTGGGCTCCGGAAGTTTCGACAATCTGCAGTCCTTAACGCGCTCCTCAATCTGAGTGCATAGGTGTTATTTACAATTCGCCCCAATCAAAATGTGACAGTCCGGGCCGGAAATCAAACCCACACTCTCAACCTTGGAAGCGTGACACCCTACATAGTAAGTTACCGCTGTGGGTGGAAAACGAAAAGCAGGAAAAGAAAGTCACCGAGAGTCATTTTATTATTCTAATGTACAGACGAGACTACCATAGTCGAACACTGCAGCGGAACCTTCGGTTAATGTAAGTATGTAACAAGAAGTATAAATATAGAACCCCAAGTAAGTGAACCAGAAACAAAGAAATTCTTACAGTGCAACGAGTATTTAATAGTTCAAGTAGATATCTTGAAGCGGGTATACAGACACAGAACATAGAAACACGGAAAGAAAATGTAAAAGAAAGATCAGATGAAATAGAGTGCGAGAAAAAGAATAGGAGAAATACAGAGAGAGCTGGAGGAAGGAAAGAGGAAAGGGGACTGGAAGTATACAAATATCAGAAACTAAATATAAACTGAAAGAATGGAAAAATATATTGAAATAAACAGTCAAAAAACATAAAAAAACGCTAGCGAGAGAAACATAAAGATCACAGCATATCCACGGAGTGAGTGATGATAATGGGGCGAAGTGCCCGTTCATCCATCCGTCTGTCCGTGCATCTGTATAGCTGTCTGTGCGTCGATTCTTTCGTATGTATGTCTGTCTGTCTTTTCGTCTGCGCATCCGTCTGTCTGTCTGTCTATCCGTCCGTCCATTTAGTCAACACTCCATGTATCGCCATCTCACATATTTTCATCATATATTCATTATATACAAGTACCGACATCAAGCGGACTTTCCAAGGACTGAACGAGAGGTGGCTACTACGACGGTGATGACACGGGACATACGACCCAGGGTGTAAGGAGCTTCACCCCTTAAAATGACGACATCTCCTGCAGAAGGGAACCATGTGTAGGGTGAAGCAGTTGGCGCTGAAGCCTACGCTAGCGGCGATGTTGACCCTGGCGCTCACTGCGGCGTTGCGCAGGAGGGAGACCTGAGGAGGCGCAAAGCTCGCAGAGATGGACCGGTGTTTTTCACTGGAACATGCCAACCGCTGCTAATGGGCAGCGAGAGACAGAACACTACACTTAAACACGGAGACCCACAGTCTGCATTTAGTAAACACGCACGCTGCGAATTTTATTGCTCAACAACGCACCGGAGTAATCCCCCACCACCACTAACTTGTAGCTCAAGATCCAGTTCCTATATATGCGAGGTGGGCAGTGACTGGTTGTGCAGTGGGAGCAGTCGATTTTTTCACTTAAGAAACTATACTCAAGGACAACTTTCTGTGGCAATGAAGGGAACGTTACGTGGGCGGAGCTACTGCTGTTGTACTCCTCCGTGAAGTAGTCTCGTTCGGCTCGCGTTTTGAATGACGGCCGCGTTCATGCATTCCTACTGCACAAAATTAGATACGCCAAATTTGTGATAGCCATTTGTGATAGAAATTCGACACAAGCTTCTTCGGTGATTTGTCGGAATATCTGAAGGGCGGTGCGCGCTCACCTAAAGGTGAAGGCGCCATTATGACTGTGAGGTGCACGTAAGACGTGCGACATTTTTCAGACGTGCAAAAACGCGAAATGACTTCAAAAAGTAACAACAAATAATAGTACTTTGTCGGCGCGTGCAGCGTCTCTTTGTAAGCAGCATCTCTCGGGACCCGGCCTGGCAGCTTGCTGTGGTGACTAGGGCAGCCGATGTCATCTCGGCGAGAAGCATGACTGTGTAGACGTGGTGCGGGACCGCGCCGCGCGGTGGTGCAGGGACCCCGGTGAGTGTAAACACACTTGCGAGTAAAGTTTTTAAATGCGAAGCATTTCTTAGCGAACTTCGGCGACATTAAGCGTATCCATCCATCCATCCATCCATCCATCCATCCATCCATCCATCCATCATCCATCATCCATCCATCCATCCATCCATTCATCCATCCCATCCATCCATCCATCCATCCATCCATCCATCCATCCATCCATCCATCCATCCATCCATCCATCCATCCATCCATCCATCCATCCATCCATCCATCCATCCATCATCCATACCATCCATCCATCCATCCATCCATCCATCATCCATCCATCATCCATCCATCCATCCATCCATCCATCCATGCATCCGTCCATCCATGCATCCGTCCATCCATCCGTCCGTCCGTCCATCCATCCGTCCATCCATCCATCCATCCATCCATCCATCCATCCATCCATCCATCCATCCATCCATCCATCCATCCATCCATCCATCCATCCATCCATCCATGCATCCGTCCATCCATCCATCCGCCTACGACTTTTAAGGATGGTGCACACCGGTGACTAGCAGCAGTGGCACGACCATTTGCGACTTGACGCAGTCGCAAAGCGACTGCCTTGGCTAGTCGCTTTTTGACCGATTTTTCGGTCGTGCGACTGCAGTCACAAAGCTGCTGGAACCAACCAGCGATGCTCAATTTTCCGTTCTTTTTCGTTTTTTCATTGCGCTGGCCTCTTGTTACCAGATAGAAAAGAATGCGTTCATCGGGGTCTGTGGCACCATGGCCACCATGGAATACTTGGCATGGAGATAGCGGGGCGGAGCAACTCGAGTAAAATGTCGAGTTTGCGTGGCAGCATTCGCAAGAAGCATAACATTCTCTAAGTAAAGAGAAAATAATATTTGCCACATCTTTTTTTGTATTCAGAAACGTGTTTTTGTCTTGAACTAGACTTGTCACCGCCTTCAATGCAGCACGTTTGGAAGGCGTTTGTGCTTCACGCCTTGGCAACGACTGAAGACACCACGTTCGATACGCGTTTGTGCTCCATTGTAGGTTGTGGCAAGTCAAGTTAAATTCAAGAACCGTTTCTGAATATGTATATCTCTCGGAAATACTCGTAGTCGTCTCAGCGCAGCTTGGGAGGTAGGCGCCTTGCATGGCCGGCCAACTCTTGTGATCAAAGGGATGGTCACACCCACCACCGGCTTTTGTTCTTTGGAGACATCTGTGCTGCCAGCGCTGACACCATAGCACAGGACACCAGCACCATGACAATCTCTGGTTCTTCGCTTGAATCGAACTCCTTGACGCTCTTGAAAACGCTGTGCGAGAACGGACGAAAACAATACATGGGCGCGCTTGGTTCGCTCCGCTCACTCAGCTGGCGGCGATCAGCTGATCGGCCCCTATCTCCTGAGTTTTCACGGATAATGAGATTCAGACATACAGACTTGACTCTCCGGCTTCGCGACTTCTAGTCGCTCGCATGCAGCCTCTGCAGGCGTGAACATCAGTAGCTTTCTGGTCGCACGGCCACTGCTAGTCGCCGCTGTGCACCAGCCTTTAGCTTTCCTGGCCTTTTAGAAATTGGTATCAATACCAAACTTGGTATGGCATAACATGACTGCACGAAGAACATATTTCACTAGTCATAACGTGCAAAACATTACATGTGTGTCACGAATGTCACGATTTACATTTCCTGGTCCTGCAGCCCTTGCTGTGGTTTCTTTCACATGGCATGTTGCAAAACTGGTAGGGCATGGCATTATTGCATGGCGAACACAAGCGACAGACCCTAACATAAAAATCATGACATGCGTGTCATGTAACAACATGACTACATGCCATGCTAAAGATACGCTGGCGGCCGTTTCGCTAGCGTCACATTACCACATTTGGTATTGCAGTATGTGAATGGATGACGAAGGTTGGTATGTGACTGGCGCAAACATCTCAATCATGAGATGCGTGTCATGTAACAACATGACTACGTGCCACACTCATGATGTGCTGGTGGCCGTTTCGCTAGCTTCACATCTACCAAACTCGGCATCACGCGAACGGACGACATAGGTAAGTGACACATGCAAACATAATAATCACCACATGCGTGTCATATAACAACATGACTACATGCCACACTGATGATGCACTCGCGGTCGTTTCGCTAGCTTCACGTATGCCAAATTTGATATTACGTGACGTCAATGGATGACGAAAGTATGTGGCTGGGGCAAACATTAAAATCATGAAATGAATGTCGTGTGAAAGCATGCCATGTAACAGTCAAGCCGCCAATACATTTCGACGTGACGTGGTGCGCGGGCTCGCCGGCGTTCATTTCGTGACGCCACGCGGGTTTTGCCAGCCAAGCGCCAGTCCTGCCATATACTCGCAGGCGCACACCGCGCTTCGTTGCTTTGACGCATTCGCGTTTCAGCGTGTCCCGCGTCCCTCCGTCAAGAAAAGAGGGAGACGCAGTGTTGAAGGGGGCGCTGCGAGCGCTCGATGGTGACGGACGCACTCCACATCGCCTCCGTAGATTTTATGCTATTTCTGCGGACATCCACCTTGGTACCCCTGAAACTTGGATTTATCGTCACCGCCAAGTTCTCCGCTTCGCCTAGACAACACCTTCGTCCAGGTGGGTCCAGTTTTGACAACTTGAGGGACGTCCTTCACTCCCAGCTACAACGCCGCCTCGCTAAGGGCTCTCAGCCCGGCGATGGCGGCCGCTAACGTGGTTACGGGCTATGATCCTACCTCAAGCCAAATGCTGTCTATGGAGATTTCATCCTCCGAAAACACCATGCCATCAGAAGATGAATACCTCGACGACATGGTGAGACTGTGGCAACGCAAGCAAGTGAAATCGAAGCCTGCGTCTCAACAACAACGAGACGCCACAGCGGGCCACCATTCCCCAGCCTTGCAAGGAACGCCGGCGCGCCATCCCTCCGGTGGTGTGCTTACCTCTGCTCCGTCCTCGCCGCCAGCGAAGCAACGCAAGTGGCGTCCGCGTCAAACTCCTCGCCTCTCTCGCGACGACTACATCGTAGTAGTTAAACCTCGCGTTCCCTGCGAGCTACGCACATTTGTCCCGGCCGATCGCGCGGGCGACGCCATCCGCAGCTACCTCGGCGACCGGACTACCACGCAAATTCAAGTGTGGCTAATCTGGGAACAGAACATCTTGGTCTGTAGCACCACCATTTTGCCTATGGCACAGCGACTCCTCGGGGACTTCCAGCTGCAAGTGGGGGATCAGCAGCTGCCCGTTCGAGGCCACGCCAAGGCACCGGGGGATACATGCAGGGGCGTCATCAACGTAAACCCTGCTGAAAGCCCGGAAAAGATAAAGTCTGAACTGTATTGGCCTCGAGGTACTATCCTTGCGGTCCGCAAACTCGGAGATTCCGCGGCGGCGGTGGTGACTTTCGAGGGCACGAAGTTACCCCGCTTCCTCTTCTACCACTGCGTGGCGACGTACATCCGCGCCTACAAGAAAACGGTCCCGGTTTGCACCAAGTGCGGTACCATCGGCAATCGACCACCTCAGTGTCCTCACCCCACTCCAACGCAGTGTGCCAAACGTGGAACCCCCGCACCTGCAGGCCTCAATGCCCACGACTGCCACCCCAAGTGCCTCCTCTGCCACGGCGCCCATGAGACTGGGACCAGTGGCTGCACGGCAAAATATCGAAAATATCGGAAACGCAAGCAGCCCTCAACATCTGCTCGAGGGACCACCTCATTCATGTTCGTCACAGCCAGACAGCGGCACCAACCTGCATCAGTCGGCTCCACCACTCCACGCCGACACTCAGGCATTCCCACCGCTCGAAGCACCAGCGGTGGTACCTCAGGTGAGCAGTTGGGCAGGGAAAGCTGCTTCTAAGCCTCTCTCACCCCCTTCTGTCGATCCTCCTTCTCCCGAACTTGCGGCCCTTCGCCAGCAAGTTGCGGCACTTCAAAAGCAAAATTCTCTTTTAACTAAACAACTCGAACTCTTAAATAAGCGACTTCAACCCCAACAACAGTGCACTGCAAGGCCATCCGGTATTGCCTCCTCTGTCCAGGTGGCTACGCCAGCTACATCCAAGCTTAGTCCTGGCGCTAAGCCCACTCCCATTAAACCGCCGGTTCAAGCAACCATTTGTACTCCAGCACTCGGAACCGGTGCCACATCTACTCCAGAAGCTCTTGAGGCTCCTGGGGCACCTCAGGTTATCTTGCCCGCTAACCAAACTCTCCCTAGCGAAGAGCGCACCCCGCGCGTAGAGGAACGCCTCACGCGCGTCGAAGCTTCGATTAATCACCTCCTCACCAGCTTCTCGGTCCAACGCATAGTAGTAGAGGTTACCCAGGCTATTCAAGCCTGGGCAATCACCCAGTTTCAACCCAAGGCATCGCGTTCCCGCTCCTGCTCGGTGAGCAGTGAGGGTACAGCTCCACGGCGTCGTCGTAAGGTGGCTACCACCACCCCGCCGTCGGACAATCCGGCCTCCGTGCCCCTCCCTGCCTCTGAGGATTCCGAGCGGGACATGGAGGACCAAATATAAAACCTAGGACAGTCACGATGGCTACCAATCGTACGTCCCGTTCAAACATTGCGTCTGAATTCGAGATCATACAGTGGAACCCTGGAGGCTTCGGGAACAGGCGAAAGCGTTCACATCTTTCCCTTTTCTTCAGCTCACTTGGCTCTCAGCCGGCCGTCTTGGCGCTCCAAGAATCTGGCCCTGCTCCATCCCTTTCTGGATACTGCTCCTATGTAGGCGGCACCACCACATGCCTCCTCGTGCATAAAGCTTACACGGCGGTACAGATTGACCTCGATCTGGATCTTCCTTACGACTACTGCATGATATCAGTGCTATCTCAGCGGAGGGGCCAACCATCAATACATATATTAAACGTGTACTGTCCCCCTCGCCTTGCAAGGGCTTCGTTTGCGCATCTCTTCCACCGGGCGCTGCGTATAGCGGCCCGACAACCACTGGTGATTGTCGGGGACTTTAATGCCCCCAGCCCTCACTGGGGTTACCACTACGAGAAGGCCCGGGGCAGAGAGCTCAAGGAGCTCATTTCCTCGCTGAGCCTGACGCTTCTTACCGATCCGGCACAACCCACACGTTCCGGCAACTCGGTCACGCGAGACACATGCCCCGACCTCTCCCTCACCCGTCACATCCGCGATGCTACATGGGAGAATTTAGGCGAAACCCTAGGCAGCGATCACTTTTTACTCCGCATTTCGTTCACACCGCGCAAGAAAATGCGCCAACACTGGGGCCAAGCCCGTCTCACCGATTGGACTCGGTTCAGAATGCAACCATTCCCCGCCGTCCTCTCCTCGACCGAATATGCAGCGTGGGCATCATACGCTCTTCATATGAAACAAGCGAACACTCGCACCCATGCAACCTCTAATTTGACTCCTGCAATCGATCCACACCTCCTACATCTTTGGCACGCTCGCCGCGGGCTCATAAGGCGCTGGAAACGCAACAAACTTAATCGGAAACTTCGCGCTCGCATTGAGGCGCTCACTGCAGAGGCGGCCGCATACTGCGCACAACTTTCCGATGCTAACTGGGCAGAGACCTGTTCGAAGGCTGCAAAGCAGATGAGCTCTAAGAGCGCGTGGCGACTCTTTAGAAGCCTTCTCGATCCCTCCACCACCAGGGGAGAAACGCAACGCCAGCTCCACCGTGTTCTGCATGCCTTTCAGGGCACTACGGATGAACTCGCGCGAGAACTTTGTGACCGCTACATCTGCCGCACAATTGATCCCGCAGGCCCAGCATATACGTATTCCGGCGCCCCGAACACCGACCTCGACGCCCCATACACACTTTCTGATTTACGATTTGCACTCACGAAAATGCGACGGGGCGCGGCCCCTGGACGCGACGGAATCACAGTATCGCTCCTGGCAAATCTTCCCGACCAAGCACACCTCTCGCTACTCCATCTTATAAATTCGATATGGGACGGTTCTCCGCTTCC